CTCAGGGGACAGGAGTCACTGCCAGACAGCCACGTCTCAAAATCACTGCCGATTCTACCTTGAGTGTGTAGTTCATTAAAAGAACGAATGGGGATTAAATTTTTACATAAAAACGTTTTTAAGAAAGAGATCAACTTACTTTGAATTGCTAATGAGATTTTATCCTCTACTGGCCCTGGATACACAGGGCGGGCTGGGAAACATGGCGGCCCAGTGTCCACACTGCCACACCTGGGCTCCTCTGCTGAGCTGTGAAAACAGAGCAAACATCCATTAACAAGTGTGCCCACAAGAGACTATTGCCCGAACTCAGCCTATAAGATATTCCTGTGTTTGTGCCTGCTCAGTTTTGTGCTTCGTGTTGTCTCACGTATTTGATACATTCTCTCCTTTAGTGAAAGATCTCTATAAAGAAAGTCTGGTTATTGTATCTATTAAAATAAAATTATTTTAATTACAATGTAATTAATTTAGTCGTTCAATGGCTCAGTCAAAATGAGCCAAGAGTTCAGATTGAGGGAGAGCAGCTTGCGTGCACTGCTCTTCTTGTTTAAAGCAGAGCTCTTGGTGATTAAGGCATTGTGCTTAAAGGCTGCACAGCAACAACGGAAGCAGCCGGACCCAGACTCACACTGGGGCGCTTCTCTCAGGGCATAAACCTTTCAGCCATTGTCATCTACCTTACATTACCCTGGACAGAGACAAACCATTCAAGACCAAACAGCTGGGTAGTATCCAGGAAAAACCCTTCGTATCTTTATTTAAATTGATCACAACTGTCTTCAGCAAAAGACGTGTTTCAGGGAAGGTTAAATATGAGGAGGATGAGATGCACAGCACTGCCACCTTCTGGACAAACAAACACATTGTCCAAGGCCTAATCCAAACGCTTCTTACAAAGAAAGAAGGAAAACAGTAATCTTACAGCTAACAATTTACTACCCAGAATGTTAAACACTTCTCTTTTGCTAGGCCTTTACTGCATCTCTGAGCACTGTCAATGTATCTTCTCTGAACAGTTTTAAGAAGGGTTCTTTTCTCCACAAGTGATGCCACACACTCGTTTGAGCTCAAGGCCAATCGTATTTTTCTCACGGCCTCCCCTTTTGTCCAAGCAGACACTGTTCTGTGGGCTGTCAGTCTGGTGTTGCTGTATCTTCTTTGTTTTAAATCATGAATACTTTGCGTGAAGACTTGGCTTTTAAAGCACAACGACATTTGTGCGGATGAGAACTTTCCTGCTGTACAGCCCCACCTGGTGGAGCACAGCGGCCCCACTGCACAGCAGATCAGGGGGAGGAGAGAGGAACTGCCTCTCCAGGGAATTAAGGGGGGCTTTAGGGAAAACAGATTCTACAATCCCAGACTGGAGATTCCCAGGTCCCTGGAATATCAAGGGAGGGAACATATATTATCTGTTTAGACACAATTCCCATCCACCCCCCCCAAATCTGAACAGAGGCGTCAGCTATAACCAAAGTGTACTGACCTCTTTCTTCTCTGTCTAAACTCATTATGCATGGCGTCAAGAACAAAACGAAAGTTTAAAAAAACATCTCTCGACTGTTACAGTATATGTATTCTTGGACCTTAATTGCATCCAGGCTTGTATGGTTTCATATTCCCGTACAAAGTAGGTCACCCTCACCCATTTATCCCCCTTCTGATGCAGACCCGCAGAAGCATTAAAAAGGGCTCGTGCTCCCATGAGCCTCTCCTCAGCCATGCGTGTTGGCAAGGATGGGCACAGCACACCCATGCTCTGCCAGTGCACAGAAGCTTATAATACTGTTGACTCCAAAATAATCTTAAGATTTTAACACAAGCATATTTCTTTGCACTATGTGGAAGTGCATTATAACCAAGAACAAGGAGGCACTTCTTTACCCAAAGGGTTGTGGGATGGAAAGGATGGAACAAGGTACCCAGCCAT